TCGGGAGCAGTTTCCATCCAGCGGGTCACCCGCAGGGCCACCTCCCCGGGGGAACCGTGTCAAGTCAGGCCTGTCTGTCACTGAGTCTCTAAGGTGTGGGGTGCAGACTTGGGGCGGGAGCCTGCTGCGTGACTTGGACGGGTCACCTAATCTCGCCACACCTGTTTCTTCATCAATGGAGGGAAGGGCTGGGCAAGTGGAACTCCTCTTCCTTCTAGCTAAAATTCCAAGGCTCTGTGATTTCACACTATTTATCGGCTACAAACCTCCGAACTCTTGTGTCGGCTGCTTGGAGGGGGAGGGGCGGCCAGAATACAAAAGAAAGGTGGCAGATAAGGTACTACGAACCAAAACACCCCTGCTAAGTTGGGCAAAGACTCGTTGGAGTTGGCCCTCTAAGTGAGTGTGTGTGCACATCTATGTGGTTAAAGGTCCCACAGAGAGGTGGCTATCAAACCTGAGGAAGGATTCCCTGGATGCTAGTCTTTGCATCGGGATGTGCATGGCCTGTGTTCTTTTGCATAAAAAAAAAAAATTCTGCTCTTTGGCTTTTCGAGAGAGGGTTTCTCGGTGTAGCCCTGGCTATCCTGGAACTAGCTCTTGTAAGCTAGGCTGGCCTGGAACTCGCAAGAGATCCGCCTGGGCTCTGCCCCCAGAGTGCTGGGATTAAAGACGCCACCACCGCCTGCCCGGCAGCAATTCTGATTCCAAGATTGCCTCTCACTTGTACAAGATGTTCTCATGGGCGTCCTTGTCTTCTCGGTCTCGCTGAAAAGGGAAGCTTGGAGAAAGGTTTCCAACACCATAAGGGCAGAAATGGCAGAGCCTGGTGAGTAACTGGGTGTTGGAAGGAAAAAGCTAAAGGGGAGAAATTGACAGAATTATGTTTCGAAACCGGTGAGAGAAATGCTGCCTTAATCAGTATTTTATTGGATGGGGAATGGGAGTGAAAGCTGGGAATGTTCACACAAGTGGGAACCACAGCTTCAAACTTCCTTCCAGCTGCCTAATAGAAATTTAAAATTGGAAGCCACTTACAGTTAAGGTGTCCTTATGTGTCTGACTGGTCATTTGTGGGCCATTTTGCTTCCTAATGTGGCCCTTTATTGATGTATTCCTTTAGAGCAGTGGTTCTCAACCTTCCTAACACTGTGAACTTTAATACAGTTTAATACAGTTCTTCATGTTGTGCTGACACCCAGCCATAAAATTGTTTCTGTTGCTACTTCTTAACTGTACTCTGGTACTGTTATGAATCATAAATGTCTGAGTTTTCTGAGGTCTCAGGCAGCCCCTGAGAAAGGGTCTTTTGACCCCAGGGGGTAGAGACCCACAGATTGAGAACTACTACTTTAAAAAGCCGTTTCTGCAAAGCAGAAACAAAGAGGTAAACGTGTAAAGCAGACTTGCCCTGCCAACTAGGCCTTGCCCCTTGGGGGCTAAACAGACCAGCCTGGAAGATGTTTGGGTGTGAAAGTCCTCTTTCCAGACTCCAGCCCCATCTGAGCTGCTTTATTCCCTCACCTCCCTGGCAGGGGGCGGGGCCGTACAGTTGCAAGGTGTGGAGAAGTCACAATGACCAGCCAGCTCCTAGAGTAACCCAGGGTGGGACAGGCTGAGGGGTTCAGTGGTTGTCCAGCCTGAGCAAAGGCCCTGAGTTCCTGAAAGAGCACAATAGCAGCAGGACTATCTTTTTGTTTTTGTGACAGGATCTCACTGTGTAACCCTGTGTAGCTGTTCACAGAGATCTGCTTCCTGAGCCTCCAACATTTGGGATTAAAAGGTGTGAGCGTCTAAAGCCAGGCAGTGGTGATGCACGTCTTTGATCCCAGCAGTCAGGAGGCAGAGACAGGTAGATCTCAGTGAGTTCCAGGCCATCCTTGTCTACAGAGAGAATTCCAAGACAGGCTCCAAAGCTACAGAGAAACCCTGTCTGGAAAAACCAAAGTGGGGGAAAGAAGGTATGCACATCCATGACCAGCCCTCCCCTCCCTTTGGGTGGACAAAATACTTTGGTAGTTTGACTCAAGGTTTTGGGTTTTGTGTATATGTGTCTTTCCTTTTCCACAAATTGCCCTAGAAACTTAAATTTAGATCACGCCTGGTATTGGTGGCACACGCATTTAATCCCAGCACTCAAGAGGCAAAGGCAGGTGGATCTCTGGGAGTTCGAGGCCAGAAAGTGCCAGGATAGGCTCCAAAGCTACATAGAGAAACCCTG